AGCTCTTGCCCGCCAGGAGAGAGGGGGAGAGGGCCCTCTGATCTGCCTTTATGCTCTGCGTTGACCAGAGCTACCCTGCAGTCTGTTACAGTTCCCAACAGGCAGTGATGTTTTCTGTTTGAAAGTGCGTGAAGCAGTTTCCTAAGGCATGGCAGAAACTCAAGTTGTGTACGCAAATTGAGGGGTCTTGGGCCTTCTACGCTCCCCTGACTGATTTTGCAACAATTTTTTAATGTGAGAAAGAACGAGTAGTAAGTATCATCTTACTCTGATAATCCACAGGACTTACTGATGAATTGGGAACTATCATAAATTCATAGCCAGGCTATTTAAGATTCAGAGTAAATATTTATTCAGTCTTGTTAAGGGGAAATTCCTATTGACTTCTGACAGAGGACCAGGAGAAAAACCAAGAGAATGGGGACATTGGCATGTTGTTGCATACCATTCAACACTCTTCTAACATGGTTTCATTTTATAGACAATAGAAATGACTTTATTTTTTCATGACTATGAAATAAATCAAGTGAAATTCAATCGCAAGTCAGGTTTCAATGTGGGGGCACTGTCTACACATGGCTTATAAACAAGTATGTTTTGAAAAGGAAACAAAACCAGCTTCTGACACTGGAACTGGCAGAATGCTTTGGCCAGATACTGTCTCTAACACACTCACCAAACCTTTGTCTTACGTTAAAGGCTTTTAAACTGGTTCTGGCTTGGCTAATTTAGATTGTCATGAAAACACACAATACACAGGAAAATAAATACTGTAGAATAAAAATAATCTACCTTCTTGTTCTGGTCTTGTCACTGGAACTTTCCTCTGTGCCAGGAGAGGGCCGAAGGCAGCTGCTTCTTTCACCTTGGGAACTAGGGAAAACAACTTGTCAAGTGCCAAGGGTTCAGGGGAACAGAAAATGGAACTTTATACCAGTTGCTACCATTTATTTAAATAAATCAATGTATGTGTCTTCCACTCCACTACCAAACTTACATTCCTAACCCCAGTTAGATACTAACTCTGAATTTTAAAACTTTGTTTAAATTACTGTTTTCCACAGCACTGTGCCTTATAGGCTGTGGGCAATGGAGCTACAAGCTTCACAAGGTCATAAAACGTTGAACATGATCTTTCTTTGGTGTGGTGATCTGCTTTCTTGCTACAAAACTTCAACTAATGATTGAAGTACCTGAACTCTACCAGACAGCGAAGACAGCGACTCAACGGCTTGGCAGCACTTTGCCAACAGCAGCCTCAAAAAATGGGTAATGTCAGAGACTTTGTAAAAGCCATAAACGGGGGATCAAAGGCCCACAGCTCTGTATTCAGGTAAGTGATAGCTGGTGCTGCTGTTAACAGAAGCCCCAGGAAATTATTTTTCTGAAGCCGTACTCTCTTCTAGGGTCCGTGTTCTCCTGCAAACCTGTCATCTCTGCTGTCTGTTGGGGAGGAAGAGTACAACGACTGCCTGACCTCTTCCTCACCCTCCCTGCAACAGCCGGCAAGCACAGCCTGATGTTTTGATAACCAGTCCTGGTGGAAACCCCTGAACAAGTTCCTTTGTAAAAATTGGTTGACATGTCTTGTGCCAAACTGGAAGAGTCGGTACAGCAGCACAGTGCATGAATGTTAGGTGCATTCTCTAAGAAACTGGCCTACAGAGGTAGTTACACAAGAAGCACAATTTTTCAGCAGCAGCTTCAGACCAAGGCAAAACCTCTCCTGTCTGATGAGCTACAAAGGTACAGAAGCTTGCAAACTCTTGTTTACTCTAAGTAATACTCTGAAATACTCTAAGTATTTTTGAAGTTTTGTGATCAAGCTTCTTTTGTGCTACTTAAAGTGATTAACAGAGAAGTGCACTCACAGAAAAAAAAAAAAGACAATCTCGACTTCTTTGTGCAGAGCCTGCATAAGTAACTAATTGCACATGAGATAAGGGGAAGATCCGCTTTCACTGGCTCTGCTGTGGATCCACTCTCTCTGGATTCTATCCTTTGCAAACACATATGCAGATGATACCTATGATATATACATAAACATCCATGAAAACAGGAGGAGCTTAAATGTGCCATTTTAGAGGAGAAGTGAGGGAGGATCCTTTGGATTAGTGCTTACAGAAGGTGTTAGCAGAAAGCCTGACCGACTGACGTTCAGTGTTCAGCCACACCATGTGGACAGCAGCGCTAAGAAAAGCTCAGACTTCCTCAGCAGTGCCAGATGATAGGAGCTATGGAAATGCAAATTACTTTTCGCTACTCAGCATTGTATCATACACGCTGCTAGAAAGTCACAAATGCCAAATAGTTTAGAAGTCATTACTTTCACATGCGTGCACATTTGTCCAAAGGGAGTTTGTTCCTCTGACTTCCACTGAGCTAGCGCTTTCCATCAAAATACTCCAACATACTCACAGTTGTAAACACATACTCAATTTTAAGAATATACTTGCAACCCACTGCAATCCAGAGCCTCCTAGCACCATAAAGACTATGCCATCTACTTAACCTTTCTTCTCCTTCAAAACTGTCAAAAATTGTTCTGTGTGTACACCAGAGAAAACATATGCTAACGAGAGGCCCTGGAGGCACTTCCAGAGGTGCCGAATTGAGCCGAGAAAGGAGACTCATGCAATCTTACGAGCTTTCTGATGAACTGCCAGGAGCGTGTCTTCTCTTGTTGCCCTTGCAGCCTTCCTCTCACCTAGACCATTGCTTAAATCAGGTGAATAATATTCTTACTTAAGGCAAGGATTAATATATCTTTCTCCAAATTAATATATGTGTATGTATACACATTTAGGAACAGGCACATAGAGATTAGGTGTTAAGTTTATTGTCGTGCCATAAACTTGGCCTCATACTTAGTGAAAGAAGCTGAGGCTGTGAAAACCCTCGCCAAAATGAAGACAGCTATTAAAATATGATCGGTTCTGGAAAGAGGTGAGCCATTTAACAGAAGACAACAGCTGCCAGAATGATTTATTTATTGAGTTATTGAATTACACTTGAATTCACTTGAGGGATATAGATGCAGGTGTAGCTCTGTGCTGCAGATGCTTCAAGTGAAGAACTGTCATGCACATAAAAAGAGCCAAATTTTGTACCCAAATCTATTTTTGTTTTCAGTGTCACACCTTACCCTCAAGATTCTCCACTTACTGGAAGGTATCGGCTGCATATTATGAGAAACTGAATGCTTCAGCTTACAGAAAGGTTTCCCAGAAACCTGACTTCTTGGAATGTGCCTACATTTTACATCAGACCATCACTGGACATAGCCAGGATCCAAAGTTTACCCCTTCCTAAGTACTAGGCAGGAGTCAGGATTGCTCTTTTCGGCTCTTCTGCTGTCAAGTGGTGTTTGCAGAAAGGCAGGCTTTGTCTCATGTTCCCTAAGAACACACTCTCACCAACAAAATCTCACATAGGTCCCACTTTAGGCACAGCAGAGTCTATCCTTCTTTCTGTCCTGCTGGTGCCCACCCATCTACTTCTCTGCAGCACCAGCTACTATATAATCTATACATATAAACTCTTCGTATCATAGTGCCACACATTCTTAACCGTTGATGTAATCATGATAGTCTTATGAGGTAAGATAGATTGACCTTATGAGCAGGAATTAGTGGCAGAGAGAACTAATGATCAGGTTTTCAGAGGTACCTATGTAACTAACTACCACCAATTTCCATAGGAGTTGTGTCTATGAATGTCTGTGATGAGCTCAGCATAAGTAAATTGGTGACGTTCTGGTCCTGAGAGCAGCAGCTTTGCTGCTGACAGAGGTTCTTGCATCTGCAAGAAATTCAGTGTTGCTATCTGTGATGTATATCTGAGCATTGCCTCTGTTCTGAAGAGCGGGAATCTCTTTGAGCCATGTTAGGCAAATCCTGCTTGACCAACCTGATCTCTTTCTATGACCAGGTGACCTGCCTCGTGGATGAGGGAAAGGCAGTGGATGTGATCTACGTGGACTTTAGCAAGGCATTTGACACTGTC